GGAACTGCATCAGCACGTAACTTCTTAACTCTCTGGGAAAGAAGAAAATGAGACACTCCTGCCGTTCGTCATGACTCATTAACAAACCTCACACCTGGCGTAAGGCAGGATCTCTGAACAACTAGCCTCTACTCAGTCCTTAAAAGTTTACTGAAACCAATGTTCCTGAGCTTCTGCCCCACGGCCCCACTTGTCCCCTTGAAATAAGGATGTCTGATTAAGACTTCTGTGCACCAACCCCCGTAGCGGCCGCCCTGAATCCCACTAGTTACAGCCATAGCCACACAATAGTGGGCTCATAGGCACACCGACCATCCGCAATGAACCGAGGCTGGGCCTTAGACACAGACACATACACACACGGTTATGGATCACGTGCGTGGTCACAAGGACCTGCCCACTCGTGGACTACGCTCACAAGTCACGCATGCTCGATACACACCCACCTACAACCCTACAGGCACCACACACCCACACTCCGGCTTTCCAAGGCCTGCCCCTCACCTGCCGTGGCCACCCCCGCGTCCCTTTCTCTCCAGCCCAAAAGGCTCTTCGCCCCAGTTAGGGCGCTGCGGAGGCAGGCGGCGGGGAGCCGGTGACACCGGCTGCTGCAGAGAAGAGGTTCCGCGGGCGCAGCAGGCAGAGGGGGCGCGCGGCCGAGCAGCCAGAGGCCGCCGCCTCCCAGGTCTGAAACCCGTAGCTCCCTGGGCGCGCCTCCCGCTTCCGGGTTCTGAGGGGCGGGGACGAGCGGCGAGGAAGGGGTGGGGCTCTGGCGGTAACTATGACGACGGGGCTGGCGTGGAGCCCCGGATGAGAGCGTCCTTGCTGGCTGAGTTCAATTGGTTTGGAGGGTTACAGAGGCTGGAGCCAGGGTAGACGCTGAGCAAGGGTCGGTCCTAGGTCACCTTTCTGACGTGAGCACCAGGAGGAAGCTATGGCAGTAAAAGTCTGGCCGGTAGGCTCCAGGGACCTGCTTCTGCCTTCAGTTTTCGGGTGTCTTCATGCTTTAGGGGAGACACCTTCAGGTCCTAGCTTTGGTGAATGGAGCTTTATATATTTTGTTTGGTTGGTTTTTGTTTTTGTTTTTTTTGTTTGTTTTTATTTTGGTTTTTGGAGGCAGGGTTTCTCTGTGTAACAGTTCTGGCTGTCCTGGAACTCACTTTGTAGACCGGGCTAGCCTTGAACTCACAGAGATCTTTCTGCCTTTGCTCCTGCCCAGCCTCGTGCGTGCACAACCACCACCCGGCTATATATTCTTTTTTTTTTTTTTTTTTATTTTTATTTTTCGAGACAGGGTTTCTCCGTAGCTTTTGGTTCCTGTCCTGGAACTAGCTCTTGTAGACCAGGCTGGCCTTGAACTCACAGAGATCCACCCGCCTCTGCCTCCCGAGTGCTGGGATTAAAGGCGTGCGCCCGGCTATATATTCTTTTCTTTTGTAATTAGTATATATCAATTAATAACAATAGCTTCATTAGGACATTTTCATACTGATCATCACCCTGTTAGTCTGTCTCCCTCTCATGCTCCCATCTTCTTCCTCTTCTCAACTACTTACTTTTTCTTAGCAAGCTTGTTTTTACCTTTGCAGTTACCGGGGGCCTCCTCGGACCTCCTTTCAAAGACCTGTCTCCTTTTGCGGCTTTGTGCTGATGTTGAGGGGAACATAATCACCACTAGGCTTGCCCTCAGACACAGGTCCTTTTCTGTAAGGCACATTCTAATCAATGTTCTTACAAAAGATGTTGCAGACGTCATGACTCCTTTCAGTAAATACAGTTTTGCTCTGAAATAATGTATGATCATATTGAATTACCTGTAACTCTTGTTTAAAAATTTGTAAGAATTGTAAAGCAAGATCCTAATGTTTTAGGGAATTCTTTTTTTTTAATATTTATTTATTTATTATGTATACAATATTCTGTCTGTGTGTATGTCTGCAGGCCAGAAGAGGGCACCAGACCTCATTACAGATGGTTGTGAGCCACCACGTGGTTGCTGGGAATTGAACTCAGGACCTTTGGAAGAGCAGGCAATGCTCTTAACCACTGAGCCATCTCTCCAGCCCCCTTAGGGAATTCTTAAAAATATTATTATTTTTAATTGTGGGGGGGTGAGCATGTGATCCACATGAGTGTAGTGTGTAAGGAAGGCAGAAGAGGTATTGAATCCCTAAGAGCTGGCATTCAGGCATTTGTGAGCTGTCCAGCTTGGGTGTAAGAGTAATATATAAATGTCTGAGCCTCTCAGCTCCTTGGCTTTACTTCCTACCCTCATGTGTGTGTGATGGTGCCTGCAGAGGCCAGAAGAAGGGCTTTGTGTTCCCTGGAGCTGGAATTGCCTATGGTTGTGAGCAGTCTGACATGAGTACTGGGAACTCAATTTTGATTTTCTGGAAGAGCAGCTAGTGTGTTAACGACTGAACTGTCTCTCTAGTCCTAGAGAGCACTTCTATCCTGTTAATAGGGCCTATGAACTTTGCCCTTACTCAGACAACTGTTTTGAAATTACTGTCAAGGAGGATGCCAAGTGAACTGCATCCTTAGTCATGGTTGGCGAGGAGTGTTAGTGTTCACCGTGAATCCCAGAACTTGGTAGGCAGAGACAGGTGGATCTTTCTGAGTTCAAGGCCAGCCTGGTTTCCACACTGAGTTCTAGGCCAGCCAAAGCTGCATAGTGAGACCTTGTCTAAACAAAACCAAACCACTGATCTATGACTCACAAGTCTTAGGTTCCAGAACTTAGATAAATCCCAGACACATTTCCCCCAAAGCATCGTGATGTCTCAGCCCTTAAAGGGCTAAGGCAAAATGATCTCAAATTGAAGCTTTAGTGATTTTGTATCTCAAAGCTAACTGAATTGCTCAAAATTATAGCAAAAAGTGGCAGATATAGAACTTTAAAGGAAATTCTACCAGATCTCAAAACTGAGAGCTCTTCCCCAAGCACATGGTAGATTGGCTTTGCTAAATATTTGATTTTATTATAATAGGAAAGACCTAAAATGTGTGTGTCCCTTAGAAAAGTCCCATAGGGTCATTTGGACCTCAGTTGTTCTACAACACATGGCAAGCACACTGTCTAGTCTTTGACTCCACACAGAGCATTTAACATCTGTGTGTCCAGCTGTCTGGTAATCCACAAATGTGGGTGGCAGACTTCTGAACCAGGCGGACCATAGAGCAGACAGAACTGGTGGGCAGAGTGCTAAGAACTTGCAGCTGTCCTGAGTGGCATGTGCCGGATGTTCCCACATCTATGCCTGTGTGAGGAAAGAAAGTTGGATGTTCACAAAATATGCTGTGAATGCCAAGAAAAGTAAACAGAGGGCCAAGTGGCTTGTGGAATTTCCCAAACTTTTGGTGGGTGGAATGAGAGCAGGGTGTGTGTGTCTTAAGACAGTTTTATTCTGTAGCCCTAGTTGGCCTGGAACTCAATATAAAGACCAGGTGTAACAGGGTGCCAGACCTTAGCACAACTGACTGCATGACTGAAGTGCCATTCAGTCTTTAAAATTCAACATGTGCACAGCACCATCTGCCTGCCAGTCACTAAAACAAAGACCTAATCCATCACAGTCCATAGCTATGGGAAAGTCTCTAAATGTATTAACCTCGCTCTTTGGCTTCGTGGTTCCGCTTCTAGCTAACTGTTCTTGTTATCTAGTGTATGCCAACCCAGATCATGGTTTTTTTTGCTTAAAAGCTCACCCTGAAAAAGGCTTGGGGCTACACTGGGATCCTGAACACTCAGTGTAGTCACACCAGCTAATAAAGACTTTTTGTTGTCTTCAGCCCATGTCCGAGCAGTCTTCTCTGGTGAATACCCCCATCCCACAGGCTTGACTCAAACTCATAGTTATCCTTCTGCCTCTGCCTCCTGAACTGTGGGATTACAGGTGTGTGCTATCACACTGGGCTTATTTCTCTTTTGACAAGATAACATTTGTTTTAAATCATACAGAACAATCATATACATATCTGAGAAAGATAGACATAAAGGGCTGGAGGGATGGCTCAGTGGTTAAGAGAAGTCATTGGTCAATGTCAATATCTTCCTTGACTGTTCCCACTGTATGCCTTGAGACAGTTTCTTACTGAACCTGGAGCTCACTGAAGAGCTGGCTGGCCCAGGATCTTCCCGTCTTCATCTTCGAATTGCTAGGATAACCAGAGGTTAATAGGAGGATACTAGGATAACTTTCTGCATGGTTGCTGGAGATCTGAACTCAGTCCTTATGCTCAAGAAATCACTATCCACTGAGCCATTTCCACAGCAGCCCTGAAAATCACCATCTTTTTACAGTTCTCCAGGATACTGACTGCTGTGCTAACATACTAGACAGTGCTGCTTCCCCATTGCTAGGTGGAGTCTGTCAGAGTGCAGTGGGTTATAGGGACCAGACAGTAGACAAGTCCTCTAGACCTGCCTGAGAAACATGCTGGCGTGCTACACTCTAGTTTGTGATTTAAAGGCCCATAAGACAGAATATTGAAGGTTCTTATGTTTTTGCAGCAGACACTGTACCCCTGATCTATCACCTCAGCCCAGTCTTTCATCTTTAACTGACAGGATAAGGTTCACATTAATGTAATCTGCTTTTTCAGTTTACCCACTAAAATGTTGTTAATATCAGACATACCCAGAGTGTCTGACCAAGATAAGGGCACCCTGTGGTGTAGTCACCTTGAAAGGTGACAGCAGAGGGTACCAATTATCAAGTATCCAGTATGTGCCAGGTGCTTCCCTGGGCGTTCCCTGTGTAATACCATTCTGCAAGGCAGTTATTTATTTCCCACGTTACTAAGCTGAGGAATCAGAGTTTTAAAGATTTAGGTAACTTGTCCTGAGTCACTCAACTAGAGACTAGCAACAGAGTTCTTTTTCCATTTGCTTTTGTTTATAGACAAGTGATCATGTGTCCCACGCAGGCCTCAAACATGCTTTGTAGTGATGGCTTTGACTTTCTGGTCCTGGGATTACAGGTGTAATGATGCAGGTGCAGCTAGTGCTGTGCACACAGCAGGCAAGTCTCCTACCAGCTGAGCTACATCCCCCCAAACCTGAGTTCAGTTTTAAATCTGAGGCAAAGTAAATTTTTTCCAGCAATGATAAAAATCCAAAGAGGAATGTCTGGCAGAACTTGCTATGTAGCTGAGGATGACTTTGAACTTCTGATCATCCTGCTTCCACTTCTTGAGTGCTGGGACTCGAGGTGTGCAGCACTATGTGATTTGTGTGGTGGTGGGGATCAAACCTAGAACTTAACACAGGCTAAGCAGGCACTTTACTTAGCTAGATCCTCAGTCTTTGAACGCACCATTTTTGTTTGCTTGTTTTGCTTTCAAGACAGTTTCTCTGTGTAGCCCTGGCTGTCCTGGAACTCACGCTGTAGACCAGGCTGGCCTCTACTTTCTGAGTGCTGAGATTAAAGGCATGCACCACTGCTGGCTACATGCACCATTTTTAAATACCCTTTTAGACTATAGACATACCATTTAGTTGCTTTCCTCTTCAAAACACAGAATCTCCTTTAAGCTGAACATTATAAATACAAATTTTATTAAATTTCTTTTGTTATTCACATAGAAAAGGCTGCTTTTAACTGTTACACACAAAAAATGGAGAGCTCAGAATTCACCATCTTGATAACCATTTTCCCTTTGTCCAATGGTATCCACCATCTTGATAACCATATTCCCTTTCTCCAATGGTGTCCACTATCTTGATAACCATATTCCCTTTCTCCAATGGTGTCCACCGTCTTGATAACCATTTTCGCTTTCTCCAAATGATGTCAACTTTCAAAGTCGGTTGCTTATAAATAAAGCTTTTAAATTCAAGTGTGTAATAGGTCCTTGCCCATCTTCTTTCTAGCTACTTAATGCACTGTTGCATAGCAACAACTTGGTTTTCTGATGCATCTTTGTTGGAAGTCTGAGAGTCTGAAATCTGCACTGGCTTGGGTGAGCATGGGGATTCTTCTGGTACCACGCATGCAAATATCCATTGTAGAAATCAGTAGCCGTTAGTGTTTTCTTAAGCATTACTGATCGTACTCCAATCCAGCTATCCTAAAGGGCAAAGGACAGACAGTGACTAGACAGTGGGGGCAAAACCTGAAAATGAAATAAACTGTACTTTATAAAATGTATCAGGCATGGTGGTGTAGCCTTTAATTCCAGCACTGGAGAAATAGGCAGGCTAGACAGATCTCTGAGTTTGAGGCAACTCAGGGTATGATACAGAGTGAGACCCCCATCTTAAAAAACAAAACAGAAAACCCCAAAACCCCCAAAGCATAATAGAAACCATTGCTTTTACTAGATGCAAAGAACATACCTTGTCTCTAAAGGTTCCTCGTGAAGGAATAACAACTGCCCTGACTTATTTCAACATAGGGAATAGAATAAAAAGTTCTATTTGCAAGGCGCTTTAGTCTTCTGAGTAGGTCCACTTATCTTACTGTGAATAGTTATCAAATCATAACAAACCAAGGCCCAAGAGCTGGCTCAGCAGTTAAGAGTGTGCACTGCTCTTCCAAAGGACCAAGTTTGATTCTCAGGACCCATTATCAGGTAGCTCACTACCTGTAACTGCATGTAACTCCAGCTCTGGGGGGAATTCAACACTCTGGCCTCTATGGGCACCTGCACTCATACTCATACAATATTTTTTTCAATCTAAAAACAAATAATCTAAGCGGTAGGCAGAAGATGTCAGTGTAGCTGTTCAATGTCAGCACTAGATTAGAAAAAGAATGCCTGAACTGGGGAGACTCTTCCAGAGTACCTAGGATCAATTTCCCAGCATCCACAGGGCAGCTCATTAACTGTCTGTAACATCATAGAAATGGGTTAATTTAAGCTGTAAGAGCTAGCTAGAAATATGCTTGAGCCATCGACCAAACAGTGTTGTAATTAATACAGTTCTGTGTGATTATTCGGGTCTGGGTGGCCAGGAAACCAATGCACAGTCTCTGCCTACACAAAACACCAATGCACATAAAAATAAATATAAAAAAAGAAAGAAAGAGAGGGAGAGAGAAGAGAGAGAGAGAGAAAGCAATGTCTGAATGTCTGCAGCTGGAGGGTGACTTTTCCAAGGCAACAAATGGTAAGAGTCAAATTCACAAGTTCCCCAGCAACAGCTGCTTCTGTGGTGCTTCCTCACAGCAACAGAACATGATGACAATGCCCTTGCTAACTGTTGAGGGTTAAAGTGGGACTCAGGCCATGTGGTCACTCAAGAAGATGCTCTGATAACTAATATCAAATAGGAGCTTATTAATAAATTACTAAAAAAAATCACTCTTTCAGAAATCCATTGTTATGGGTAGCAATGATAAAATTTATCACTTTCAAAAATTATGCTGGAGATTCCACTGTTTAAGAAAACTACCTATTAGCTTAATCTGGTAAGTCATTAAGTAAAATCTTAACAAAATTGGTGTCTTAATCAGTGTTCTATTGCTGTGAAGAGACTCTATAACCAATGCAATTTTTTTTCTTGGTTTTTCGAGACAAGGTTTGTCTGTGTAGTCCTGGCTGTCCTGGAACTCACTCTGTAGATCAGACTGACCTTGAATTTAGAGATCCGCCTGTCTCTGCCTCCTGAGTGCTGACATTAAAGGCACGCTCGACTACTGCCACACAACCAATGTAATCCTTTTTTTGTTGTTTTTTTTTTCAAGACAGGGTTTTTCAGTGTAGCTTTGGAGCCTGTCCTGGAACTCGCTCTGCAGACCAGGCTGGGCTCGAACTCACAGAGATCTGCCTGTCTCTGCCTCCTGAGTGTTGAGATTAAAGGCGTGCGCCACCACCGCCTGGCCCAATGCAATTCTTAAAGCATTTAATTTAATGCTTGGTGTTGAAGTAGCTGATCCATAATCAGAGAGAGCTCTGGGCCTACATAGGCTTACAGCCCATCCCCCATGACATACTCCCTCCTAATCCCTCAAATCCTTTCAAAAAGTTCCAAGCATTCAAATATATGAGCTCATGGGGGCCAATCTCATTCAAACCACCACAAATGGTAAATGGAAAGCTTGGTATGGTGGTACATATCTCTAATACTGAAAGACTTTGAGGCACCTTAGCATTACTGCACCCTGCTTCCTGGGAACCAGGACCCTGGTAACCAACCACACGTGCACTGGAGCTTTGAGTACTTTCCATCCCCTTTGTAGTCTTTCTTCAATAGACCCGGACCCTGGAACTGGGGTGAGATGACCTGAAGGTGTTCCTCCTTGTAATCACCATAACATTGATCAAGTAGAGTTAGCTGACCATTGAATGAACTAGTCAAAATAGTTGACAAATGATTTTTGGACTTTCCCTTTGATTCTGTACTACTCCCTCCCTGATTTTGTGGTTTTTCCTTTAAAAGAGCTTGTAGTAGACAAAGCGGGCGTCCTTCTCCTCTCGAGGCTGAGGGACCTCTGCTGTGTCAGAATAAAAATTCCTCTTGCTATTGCATCAACCGTGCTGAGAGTGTCTCTTGAGGCAACCTCCTCCTGGGTGGGGCTTTAGGGCCCAACAATACCAACACTCAGGAGGCTGAGGCGGGAGAGTCAGTTTTAGGCCACACATTGAGTTGAAGGCTAGCCTAGGCTACTTAGTAAGACCTCATCTCAAAAGAAAAGGAAAAAGAAATTGCAAAGTCAGTAAAAACAAGCACAGTAATTGGAAGCCGAGTCAGCGTACCTTGCAGTGAACCAGCAGCATCTGCGATTGTCTGTGGTATACCACTGACCCTGGAGCCACAGTTTGTCCTGTTAATTTGGGGTCTAACAGGGGAGACAGGGAAAAACACAAGAGAAACAGAGAAATAAATCATGGTACTTCCTAAAAATCAAAAACATCTTGTCAGTGGAATAGAACAGGTATGGCACTTGCAAGACCCTGGGCTCCATCTCCAGCACTGATAACAAAATTTAAAATATGAACAAAAAGAATCTTCAGAGGCAGAACTAATGATGGAAAGGACACACTTACTGAGGTCCCAACTCTGCAAACCCAAACCTAGAGCCAGGTGCTCTAGCTACATTACGGACCCAAAGGAAGTGTTCCACACATAAGGCGCTACAATCCTTTGCTCCATCTCCCAAGGATCACCTTTAGTGCTGAATCTGTTTAGCACTGTCATTTTGACAGATGAACTGCCTAGCAGTGGAAAAACTCACAGGATGTCAAAGACTTACAATGGGTCCTCCCACTGCCTCTGGACTAGAACAGTGCCCACTGCAGCCCACAGACAGAAGAGCTGAGGGACCTCAGAAGGAACTGCAGGCTGGGATGCTTTGCTCTCGCTGCACTGTCCATATGTTTTCACTATGATATTCACCAGCACGAAATCAACTAAGTCATTCCACAACTCTCCAGTCCTGTGCAAGAGGACACAGAGCTCCAGCCTCCAGGGTTCATGTGATGATTGCAAAGGGTAAGAAAAGGGACTGTGAGTGTCTGTGAGGTGTTATTACTTCTGCACTAAAAAACCAAAACACAAATCCTTATGTTTAGTGAATATGGAAAATTAGAAATATGGGTGGAGCGGCAAACCTGACACAGTTTTAAATGAACTGTAGTGAAAACTTGCCAGCTATTCAAAAGTACCTGTGAGGATGGAGTTGTTAACTTCTACCAGATCCAGAAGTTTAACGGTGTTCTCCAACCAGAGTGTCTGCAATGGAACCTGCAATTGGAATGAAGGACTCATGAAGGAATGCATTCAGCTCCCAAGGCCTTTTGACACTGCTGCATATTAACTCACTCTGACTTTCTTCCACGTTCTGAGGAACTGGACGCTCAATCGCTAATCTGCTGAAACAGAGCATGAATATGACAGTCTGTTTCGTCTCTGCAGTATGTATAAGATCTCAAGTTTTATGTAAGTAGCCTTAATATTTCCAATTAAATATTTATATTTATGCTCAGCCAGGCACAACTCTAATCCCAGTACTTGGGAGGCAGAGGCAGGCGTTTCTCTGTGAGTTCAAGGCTAGTCTGGTCTACACAGAGCTAGTTCCAGGACAGGATCCAAGCTACAGAGAAACCCTGTCTCAAAAAACCAAACCAAAACAAAAACCAAAAAAACCCACCCCCAAAATAATTTATGCTCAATATGAAGGCAAGAATTAAAATATTTGTGTTAAAATTTCAGAAAGTGATAGGATTTTATATTTTCACCACAAGAGGAAAGTGCTGGCAGGCAGTGGCAGCACATGCCTTTAATCCCAGCATTTGGGAGGCAAAGGCAAATGGATTTCTGTGAGTTTGAGGCCAGCCTGGTCTACAAGAGCTAATTCCAGGACAGGCTCCAAAGCTACAGAGAAACCCTGTCTTGAAAAAAACGAAAAAAAAAAAAAAAAAGGAAGGCACTGACAGTTTGATGTGTATGTCTCCATATTACTCTCCTCGCACCAAATGTTATTAGCACAAAGACCTGAAACATGGCTGTCAGTGTATGTATGTCTCTTTCACCTGAGCATTTGTTCAGCATCCTATCTACAATACCTTTATAAAAGACATTTCAATTATTTCTAATTTCTTGCTATTTCAGACAGCAGCTTCTTGCTGCCAGTTTCTAAATTGCAGAGCTGGCTGGCTGAGTAGAAGACATTTGCTATTAAGCCAGATGGCCTGAGTCCTGTCTGACGGCCACTCATGATGGAAGGAGAGAATTGATTTCTGAAAGTTGTCCTCTGAACAACACATGCATGCCATGGCAGACACACGTGTACACACATACAGAAATGGCTTTCTAGAGACACCTTTAGAAACATATACCTTTTTGATATGGGTGGTCCTTCTGTATATGTGTTGCTTTTATTGGTTAATGAATAAGGAAACTGCCTTGGCCTGTAATAGGGCAAAAGAGTAGAGCTAGGAGGGGAAAACTAAACTGCATGTGGGGAGAAAGAAGGCGGAGTCAAGAGAAGCCATGGAACTGCCACAGGAGAAAGATGTGACTTGTAGCCAGAACCTTGCCAGTATGCCATGAGCCTCATGGTAAAATACAAAATAATAAAAACGGGTTAATTTGCTGGGCAGTGGTGGCGCACGCCTTTAATCCCAGTACTCGGGAGGCAGAGGCAGGCAGATCTCTGTGAGTTTGAGGCCAGCCTGATCTACAAGAGCTAGTTCTAGGACAGGAACCAAAAGCTACGGAGAAACCCTGTCTCGAAAAATCCAAAAAACAGAAAAAAAATGGGTTAATTTAATATGTAAGAGCTTGCTTGGAATATGCTAGAGTCATTGGCCAAGCAGTGATTTAATTAATACAGTTTCTGTGTGATTATTTCGGGGCTGAGCAGCTGGGAATGAACAAACAGCCTCCTATGACAAATTGGCATACCAACATTAACTAAATCCACATAAAACCTGAGAGGGCTTGGAAAGAAATTCTAGACACTAAAAAACAAAGTTTAGCAGCACTTTTTTCCAGATGGGTTCTGCTTTCTGGCGGCATGCTGCAGCTCTTTTAAGTGAGGTTTTCCTGATTCAGCGGTAAGAAAAAAATGCTGCGCAGTTTTGAAATGGTGGCTTCCTGGGCTGCATGAACTCTGGCTCTTTTAGGAGGCCGAGCATTTTATGGGGTTTGTGGGTATCGTGCTGCAAGTTACTTGGTGGCAGCATGTGCCAACTGGTTGGTTATCAGAGTTGAGATGGTGAGAGTTGCTCCTACCCGGCAGTCTCAGAGGCAGTGAATGGACATCCACCATGTTGGACTGGGCAGAGCAAGTAGGCAGGGCCCTAGCACTTAGCATTTTAAGAAGCACTTCTGGTCAGAAAATAATTACAGATACACAATAAAGATAGATTCAGACATAAAAGACCTCTAAACAAGACAGAGTGTTTGAAAAATGTATATAGGCTTGGGAGAGAGAAGAAAAAGAGTAAAGAGAAAGTAAATGTAATATAAAAGAGTACAGTCATAGATTAAAGGAGTAAAGATAATAAAATAAATATTAACTTGTAGAAAAAGTAATAGAGTAAGAAAAATAAGCCATGTAAACATGGAATATACACAGGGAGTCTGGATTATGTATATTATTGTGTTTTCTTTGAATTTTTTGACTGTGAAGGAGTTAACTACAGAGAGACATTTCATTGTATGGACTACAAAGTTAAACCAACATAATGGTATCTTGACTTCAAAATTTGTATCTAAGGATATGTTGCTTTGGAAAAGAGGGTCTTCCATTCCCACAGAGGATGAGAGTCTGTAGAATCTTTCCAAACAAATGTGGTTTGATAGACCAAGACCACCTGAAAGGTCTCTGTGAACCCCCCCCCCCCAAAAAAAATTCACCCAACAAAATCAGGAAGCAGTTTGAAGAGAACTACACCCAAATTTCCAAATATTATTTATAAATGTTTGTTTACATTTAAAAGGGGATATGCTATAGATATGAATACTTTGCATTGGCATGTGTCTTGGCTTATTGATACAAATTTAAGGTCAATTTTGTTATACTGTGTATATGTATTTCTGATCTTGATTAAGGTACTGTGTTTGTATAGCTCACTTAAAAATGTAATGTATAATTAAGAAATATAGGTTAGAAAAGAAAAAAAAAGAAATATAGGTTAGCTGGGCAGTGGTGGCACATGCCTTTAATCCCAGCACTCGGGAGGCAGAGGCGGGTGGATCTCTTGAGTTCGAGGCCAGCCTAGTCTATAAGAGCTAGTTCCAGGACAGGCTCCAAAGCTACAGAGAAACCCTTTCTTGAAGAAAGAAAGAAAGAAAGAAAGAAAGAAAGAAAGAAAGGCTAATAGATAATCATCTATAATAGTCAAGCTTGTAGTCATGTTAGGTTTTCTAGATGTACAGAGATGTATTTCAGATGGATAGGCATTCTTCAAACCTTTCAAAAACTACTATGTGGCATTTAAAATGTTTTAAGAATTTAAGACTTCTCATGACAATGAGACACATCTCTTCCTGGCAGCACCAATTACTTCAATAGGAAGATTGAAGAGGCTCCTTATGGAGTTTGTTAGCCATTTGGGCAAAAAACTGCTCTTGCCTGGACTGCTTGATGGTATACTGTATGAACTGGACATGCAGGACCCACAGAAAAATGTCTGCTGAACTTGTCTAAAGGTTAGACCGTCCTTCGGGGTTCCTGCTTCATAAAAGAGACATTCTGTAGGACACAGAAAAAAAGTGACTGACAAACTGCCAATATAGGCAAAACAGTCTTTCAAATTTCCTGCTTCATGGAAAGGTCTGCCAGATGCTATGGACCTGTAGGCTGAAGACTGGATGCTCCAACGGTACAGAAAAACTTTGGGTGACTGTCCAGGCAGCGAGATGTCTCTGTCAATTCTAGAGTTTTGGAAGTTGCTTACAATGAACTTATTTTTTACTTAGGTAATATTATATCCTTCTGAGGTCTTTGATGGAGTTGAAGAATAGACAGTTTAGTTTTCTTTAGTTATGATAAAATATATAAAATATTAAAGTAGATATAAATATTGTTAACTGTAATTCTTGCCTAATACCTGTTTTGTTATACATATTTTTACTAAGTTAAAGTTAAAAATGTCCTTTTTATTTAAACAGAAAAGGGGAAATTATATGGGAAGTCCTTCTGTATATGTGTTGCTTTTATTGATTAATGAGTAAAGAAACTGCCTTGGCCTATGATAGGGCAAAAGAGTGGAGCTAGGTGGGGAAAACTAAACTGAATGCGGGGAGAGAAGGTGGAGTCAAGAGAAGTCACGTAGCCCCACTGGAGACAGATGCTGGAACTTACCTGGTAAGTCACAGCCTCGTGGCGATACACAGATTAATGGAGATGGGTTAATTTAAGATATTAGTTAGCCAGAAATACGCTTAAGTTATTGGCCAAACAGTATTGCAAATAATATGGTTTCGGTGTGATTATTGTGATTATTTCGGTTCTGGGCAGCCAGGAACAATCAAGCAGCCTCCTACAACACCTTTTTGTTTGTTTTTCAAGACAGGGTTTCTCTGTGTAACAGCTCTGGCTGTCTTGGAACTCACTCTGTAGACCAGGCTGGCCTCGAACTCACAGAGATCCACCTGCCTCTGCCTTCTGAGGGTTGGGATTAAAGTCATGCACTACCACATCGGGCTTAAGCAATTTGATATTTTAAAAAGTGTGGAATGGGGGCTGGAGAGATGGCTCTGAGGCCAAGAGCACTGACTGCACTTCCAGAGGCCTTGAGTTCTATTCTCAGCAACCACATGGTGGCTCACAGTCATCTATGATGAGATTTGATGTCCTCTTCTGGTGTCCAGGCATACATGCAGGCAGAACACTGTATACACAATAAATAAGTAAATCTTAAAAAAAAAAGAGTGGAATGGAGAGAAGGACCAGAGGTTAAGAACACTGGGTGCTTTTCTGTAACTCCAGTCCCAGGTGATCAAATACCCTCCTCTAGCCAACAAGAACACCAAGGACACATATGGTACAAAGACGTACAAGCAGACAAAATGCCCATATATATAAAATCAAGTCAAATTAAGGTAGAGTCATTGGGCCTCCATCTAAGACTAGAGAGATGGCTCAGTGGTTAGGAGAGCTTGCTGTGAAATCATGAGGATGGGAGTTCACACTCCAGAACGAACGTGCATACGTGTATCCACACAAGCCTGAAACCTAGGAAGCTGCCGTAACTGCAGTTCCAAATCATCAGGTGGTCTCTCCTGGTCTCTGTGCACGCATGGGCATGTGCACCTGTACACACATGTTCATATACTCAGACACACAAGGACACACATAAAGAAATGAAATAAATCTTAAATAAAAAGAAACGGCTTCCATTGGCAAGGGCTATCTAGCCACCCCAGTAGTACTATTTATTAGCTAATCTACTCCCCACAACGTAAAATGCCATCTTTGCTACTTTAACATATTTACAATATAAACAAACGTGTTGTTGATTGAAAGTTCAATAAAAATCAACATAACAGGAAATTATTTCTCTCAGTTTCTCTGTGTTCACTTATTTTCAGACTATACATTGATGCCGAATTTTTAAAACATTAAGTATATGTGTGGAAACAGAGGTATCTAGAGTTCAAAGCCAGTCTGGGTTACACAGTGAAACTGTCTCAAAATAAATAAACAAATAGCAAAGAAAGAAAGGAAGGAAGGAAGGAAGGAAGGAAAGAAAGAAATAAGAAAGGAAGAGAAAGAAACAAAGAAGCCAGGTATTGGCTTCTATCTGTAACCCCAGCACTCAGAAGTTTAATGGAGGAGGATGCCTGAATGTGAGGGCAATGTAGACTACACAGTGAGCTCCAAGTCAGTCTAGATCAAAGTGAGACCTGATCTCCAAACAAACAAGCAAATCTGGGCCTGGAGTCAAGAGCAAGTGCTCTCCTCCATGGTTCAGGACAGTGGCAGGATATCTGAGAGGAGTTTCAGTGAGGGTCCAGTATTGATGGTGTAGCAAAAGCCAGAGGCCTTGAGCCAGACCAATAACTCACTGCAATAAACATTTGCAAGAAAAGCTGCTTAGGCAAAAGAGTATGTGCGTGATACACCACAGCTCCCAGTGCCACTACGACAGTTGAATATGTGATGGAGAGGTGAGCGAGACAGGAATGAAGTGGGGTTTTTTTTTAATTATTATTACTGTTTTAATTTTTTCCTTCTCCTTTGTGGGGGAGGCTACAAGGGTTGAGGGTAGACATGGAAGGGCTGGGAAATGAGTGAGACTGGGGTGCATGATATGACATTCCCAAAGAATCAATAAATAAATTATGTTAGTAAAAAGAAGAGTAAGTGCTGTTCTTGCAGAAGATCCAGACTCAGTTCCTAGTGCCCATGCTGGATGGCTCACAGTCACCCCAAACTCCAGCACTAGGGAGATCTGGTGCCCTTTTCTGGCTTCCATAGGTATGGCAATCGTGCACATGCCTATGCCTGTACATACACACATACACCCTACCCTGAACACACATATACACATAATTAAAAATAAAATCTTGTACAAAGTGAGTTCTAGGAAAACCAGGATTTTACACAGAGAAACCCTGTCTCAAAAAAATAAAATAAAACAGACAACCCTCTACCAAAAAAAAAAAAAATCAAAACCCCCCAAAAATCTTTTTATGAAATACTGACCAGAGGCAGAAAAATAAACTAGTTGGAGTTACAACACTTAAGGTTCACTGCTTACTAACTGGCCACACCTAAGTTCCTTATCTTGTTTTTATTCTCCTTGTCTATGACAGGGAATCAAACCTGCTTAGGAAATACTGAAGAATTCACCTGAAAGCACTTTGTGAATTCCAAGACCTTTGTCAAAACTTAAAATTTAACGTTTAAGAAAATTTCCTAGGTTTAGTTTATAAAATTTACTCCTAAATAAAAATACCCAGAAAGGAAACAATATGGTAAAAACACAATCCAAACTTTCCACTCACTATATCCCCAATGGCGAGGTGAAGTCTGAGTACTTGCTCTGAGGTTTGCTCCTCCCACTTGACACAGCTGGTACCAGCAGAAACCTTAGGGGCTGAGAGATGAGAAAAGAGCAAGAATGAACATGGTTCCGTGTTCATGAACTGACAAGAGTGAGGCTGAATCAAGAGCAGAAGAGAATGCTCAACTTTGGCATATGCCTACAACTTGCTACCATATGGCGTAAAAGTAGACCTGACAACCCCAGAGAGGGCAGGCAAGACAGCTTAGCAAGTAAAGGCACTTGCTTCCAAGTCTGACAACCTGAGCTCATAGCCTGGAACCTCCATGGCAGGAGAACCAGCTCCTGAAAACCATTCTCTGGTCACACAGAGCCACTGCACACACATTTACCTCTGTACAATAAATGAAGAAAACAATTTATCAGCCCAGAGCAATAAGATGGTTATATTAGACTTATAGAAACAAACTTTTTAGCAGATTGTGGTGGTGTACACCTTTGATCCCAGCACTCTGGAGACAGAGGCAGGCAGGTCTTTGTGAGTTTAAGGCCAACCTGGTCTACAGAGCGAGTTCCAGAACAGCCAAGGGGTGCAAAGTAAGACTCTGTCTCAAAAAATAAAACTAGACAAATAAATAAAATAAAGCAAGCATTTTTTAAAAGACAAAAATAAACAATATGCTAGGCAGTGGTGGGTCACACCTTTAATCCCAGCACTTGGGAGTCAAAGACAGGCGGACCTCTGTGAGTTCAAGGCCAGCTTGGTCAACCTAGCTACACAGAGAAACCCTGTCTTGGGGAAAAAAACAAACAAACAAACAAACAATATAGTTAAAGTTAAAAAAATGTCAAACTGAAAGAACATGTAGTCCATATTACAGAGGCTATTATATACATGGATCTAAATAGGCAGGAGAAAAAGACAAAATCTCCTGAGGAAATTGGGAACATGGGGGTCAGGGGAGACCCAAGTAGAAGGGGAAAGGAGAGGAAGAGAGGAGAGTGGAGAGAAAAATGTATAGCGCAGTAAAACCAATAAAAAAAGGAAAATAAAATACTCCTAATAAGTGAAAAGGAATAAATGAGAATCCTGATGGAGAAAGAAGGGCAGCAGTCAAGTTCCTTCTTGGAAAAGGAAATATGAAGCATACAAATACTCCCTAAGCACATAAAAATATCAACGTCACTCGCAGAAGCCATGTACAGTAAAACGACTCCAGTATTTTATTTACTCATTTTCTGAGAAAGGGTTTTACTAGATAGCCCAGGTTGGCCTTGAACTGGAGATCCACTCAACTTCAGTCTCATCTGCTGCATGAAAGACTGGAAACAGCTCACACAGCCTTAACGGGATCTGTGAATAAATTACAATAGATCCACACAACCAAAAATTCTGCTGATAAAGACAAAAAAAAAAAAAGCAGGGCCTGGACAGGCGCTCATTTGTTGCTCTTTGGTTCCCAGCATCCACAGGGCGACTCACAATCATCTGCAACCCCAGTTGCAGAAAACCCTCTTTTGACACTATCCACATGTGGTGGTGCATGCATACACACATGCAGCAAAAAATTCACACACATAAAAAGAGCTTTTTAAAAAAAAATTTAATTAAGGAAGCAGTATCAAAGATGTATTGTCAAGAGCAAAAATCAATAAAAAGTAAATGCATTAATTAAAAGCAGAAAGATAGTAAATTGTTGTTGTTCTTTTTTGGATAGGGTTTCTCTGTGCAGCCCTGAGAGCCCTGGAACTCACTCCGTAGACCAAGGCTGGCCTCCAACTCAGAGATCCACCTGCTTCTGTCACCCAAGTGTTGGGATTAAAGGCATGTGCCACCACTAATAATTTTTTTTAATTAAATAAACAAAAAGGCCAAGTGTGATGCCATACACCTGTAAGTCCATAACTTGGGGGATAAATGCAGGAGAAGCAGGAATCTAATCTAAGGTCATCCTGAACAATATAGCCAGTCTGGGCTCCATGAGACCACGACTCAAAAAGCCAAATTCAGAAACAACAAAGCAAAAAGAAAGATTGACAGCAACTGAATCCTAAGGCAATCTCTTCTTAACTCAGAAGAATCTTTGTTATGATTTGGTTGAGGCTTCAGCACTATGCAAACACTCTTCTGGAGCTACACCTTGAGCCCTTTTGATATTAAAATTTGTTTTTTAAAAACTACATTTTTAGGTGTGGTAGTACATGCCTATAATTCCAGCATTTGGGAGGCTGAGGCAGGAGGATGGATGTGATTTCTAAGCTATCCTGGGTAAGATCCTAACTCAAAAAAAAAGAAACTCAAAACACACCAAAAATAGTGTATGTTTTGGTAACTAATTAGGATCATACTAACAAAAACTAAAGATTCAAGCAGTCTTAAAAATGTGTTCCTGGAGGGAGGGCTGGAGAGATGGCTCAGCAGTAGCTGGCTGTTCTCCTAGAGGACCTGAGTTCAATTCGCAGCACCCACATGGCGGCTCACAGCTGTCTGTAACTCTAAGATCTGACACCCTCACACGGACATACATGCACACTAATGCACATAAAATAAAAATTTAAAAGTTAAAAAAAATGTGTTCCTTGATCCTAGTTTGTGTGTGTGTGTGTTTTAAGCAGATATAAAATCGATTCTTGGACATTTAGGAAAACCTGTGTGGACTGGATATTGGATACTACCTACCGACCAGGACATGTTCAATGCCTTCTTCATTTTAAAGGATTAAAAATTTTTATTTTCATTTTACACCTATGAGCATTTGGTCTGCATGTATGCCTCTTGTGGATCACATCCATGTAGTGCCATATGGGTCAGAAAAGGACATCAGATATCCTGGGACTAGAGTTACAACGCTATGAGCTGCCATATTGCTGTTGGGTGTCTAATCTGCAGCCTCTGCAAGAGCAGCCATTGCTCCTAACTCCAGCCACCTCTCCAAGAGTGCATGCTGATGAATTTATACCCGCTAGTGGCAATCAGAATTTAAAATATATACACTACATATACAGACAGGAAGATGTGGAGCAAACAGGATCTACATGCTTCTTAAAATGTTGGGGGAAATGTTGAAGATGAAGCTATAGGCTAAGGGGGAGAGCCCACCAACCATTATCCGGGAAAGCACATACAAGACAGTGATGAAGTCAGAGCCTTCAGCCACCACCATGACAAACGAAACTTTTACAAGACAGCAGAGTGTCTGTGGCTCTCACTTACCATACGTCACTCCCTCAGCTGGCTGTGGCCTTCCATTGTTCAGACTTTCAGGCAAACTTTTCAAAACTGAAATAAGCTACAAAAGGAGAGAGAGAGCACAGAGTATATTCAGCAGAACAAGGCAGACACATCACAGTTCAGTGCCATGAAGTCACCTGTCCCAGCAGAGAGTGGTGGCAAACTGACTTCACCTGTAAGGACCTGTGCTCGTGGACGGCTACCCCAAGCTGCTCTGTGGACACAGGCACTGAACTGCTGCCAGCGTTGGTCTGCAGCTGGCCTGACCACACAGCTCATGCTATCTATCAGGCAGCCAGCGTGGAGCTCCTACCACTCTCACAATGTGAGGAGCATGTTCCAATCCTACCCAATAACCTCCTGGTGCTCTCATTCTGGAAAAGCTCTTTAACGTGTCTGTACCTCTCAACATTGTGTTTGCGAAATGAATGACAGCAACAATTACCTCAGAGGATTGTTGGGAGGGTGCAAAAGAAAAATCACAGAGTATCTAGAACAGTCTTGATAAATGGCAGCCACCATAAAAAGTCACTTCTAAGGGAATGCCCAGAACAGGGAATACTAACCATAAGCTGGGAAACGTGTAGATTCCTAGGGTGTGGCTGGTAGCTGAGTGAGAGAAGTAGGCAAGGGATGTATAAGAGAGCAGAGAGGAGGCCCGGGAAGAATAAATACCTCACTATGAGATGGAGGAACCTCTGAACATCGCCTATTTTATTGGAAAGCTTTTATTAAGAATCCATTCTGCAGTCCTCAATAGTCACAAATACTGAGCTAACTTTTAGGAAACGAGGGAGAGGAACCACTCTGCTGGTTGTTAAAACAGAATCTCATTACCCCGATGAACCTGGGGCTCCTGATTCTCCTGCCTCAGCCTCCTGAGTGTGAGGTTACAGGTGAATATAACCATGTCTGGTCGTAAGCTCAGTCCTGAGCTCACTTTCTCATGCTATTTTATTTCTTTATAGCGTGCGCATGAACCAAGTGATGGTCAGAGGATTTTCAGTAGTCGGTTCTCTCAGGTTGCTGGGCCTGGTGGCAAGCGCCTTTACCTGCTGAGCCATCCCACTACCATGTCCCCTCCCCCACCAATAAAGCTTAAAAATTATAAATCATAAGATCACTCTTTCCCTCATATTGCTTAAAAGCCTTCTAAACGCATGAAAAGCCAGGGTGGGGTGGAGGAACTGTACCATGTTGGCACCGAGTTTTGACAACACTGCTTCCAGTTCCTTTGATGTGCTCTTGGGAGGCACAGGGATGGTTTCCTGCTTGAGAATTGGGCCGATATCAAACCTAGCAAGAAAAAGGCAGCCAACGTTATTACTTGTTAGGACAATATGTTTGTCTACATAGCACAAAGAGAGCTAATTGCAGGCTACTACTCGAACTGTTAGCCATTCCAATTTGAGGTCACCCTGGAATATCTGAGACACTGCCTCACAAGCAAGGTCGAGTGAGTGTGGGTGCACACGCTTTTAATCTAGGTCAACCAGGGATACACAGTGACTCTCTGGGAAAAAACAAACAAACCACAAAACAAATATACATAAAAAAAAAACAAGCTCCAAATCCTTCTGTCATTTACATCATTTTATAGAAAATCAGGTGTTTAGAGCTGGTCAGTGATGGCACGTGTCTTTAATCACAGCATTTGGGAGGTAGAAGCAGGTGGATCTCTATGAGTCTGAGGGCAGCCTAGTCTACAAAGTGAGTTCCAGGACAGCCAGGGCTACAGAGAGAAACCCTGTCTTGAAAAACCAAAAAAGAGGACTGGAGAGATGGCTCAGTGGTTAAGAGCATTGGCTGCTCTTCCAGAGGTCCTGAGTTCAATTCCCAGCAACCACATGGTGGCTCACCATCACCTGTAATGAGATATGGTGAGATATGCATGCAGAACACTATATATACATAATAAATAAATTAAAAAAAAGAAAAACCAAAAAAGAAAAAAAAAGGAGGGAGTAAAGGGGGGGGGGCTGAAGAGATGGCTCAGCTGTTAAAAGAGCATTGCCTGTTCTTCCAAAGGTCTCACAACCATCTGTAATGAGATCTGGTGCCCTCTTCTGGCCTGCAGGCATACACGCAGACAGAATATTATATACATAATAAATAGATATTTTTTTTTTAAAAAAAGAAATCCAAGTGTTAATAGTTCCAATGACAAATTTACAAGGACTTTAAAGAGACTGTATGAATCTCAAAGACATAAGGCTTATGTTAGAAATTAGGAATATTCAGAACAATCACTGGGGAATCACCCAAGTTAGCATACTCCAACCAGTCCCCAACCACCAAGGCCCCAGACAGACGACAAAATTCATGTTAATAAGCTCTACCTTTTGGGTCTAACTTGCATAACTGTTACGCCAGTGACTGTGTCTCCATGAAGCACTGTATGAATTATCGGGGCGGGACCACGCCACCTCGGGAGGCAACTGGGATGTACGTTCAATATGCCACTGAGTTAGAAAAGGCAGAAATTAGTGTGGGAATTAGTTACTGCTACCAAACTAACATGCACTTTCAGCACTCAACTTTCAAGAGCCTGGTATGGTGGCACATATTAATCCTAACACTTGGAAAGCTGAGGCAGGAGAACTGCTGTGAGTTCTAGGCCAGTCTATGCCACAGATTGAGACCCTGTTTCAAAACAATCATCATCTGCAAAATATGTAACGCTTGTATCACCAAAACTATAAAACCTATAGGGTTAGAAGCACATGACCTTGAGGTTTGCATCCCTAAAACTAAGTTAGGTAAGTTCACGCTCACCATAAGCAACCAGTGAATCTTAATTAAAAACTAGCTGAGCGGTCAAGAGCACCTGTTGAGAGGACCCGAGAACTGGTTCCCAGCACTACAGTGGCTCACAATTATCCCTGACTCCAGTTCCAGAGAATCTGACACCCTTTTCTGACCTCCCTGGACACCAGGCTCATACAGGGCACACATACATATTATGCAAGCAAAACACTCATACACATAAAATAAAAATATCTACGCAAAATAATTTAATTAAGCCGGGCGATGGTGGCGCACGCCTTTAATCCCAGCACTCGGGAGGCAGAGGCAGGCGGATCTCTGTGAGTTCGAGACCAGCCTGGTCTACAGAGCTTGTTCCAGGACAGGCTCCAAAGCCACAGAGAAACCCTGTCTCGAAAAACCAAAAAAAAAAAAAAAAAAAAAAAATAATAATAATAATTTAATTAAAAAAACCACCAATACTCGGGAAGCAGGGGCAGGCTGATCTCTGTGAGTTCGAGGCCAGACTGGTCTACAGAGTGAATTCCAGGACAGCCAGAGTTACCTTGAGTGAGACCCTGTCTGGAAAGAATAATAAAACAAACAGAAGAGGGGGGCGGGAAATAAAAATTTCCATTATGGCCTTTTGGGTTCTAGACCTATTCATAGAGGCATGACCTCTACACTGTATTTCCTTATAAATAAAACTTACTAGGGAAACTTAAGAATAAGAGCCTCACTCAAAAGTCGGCCAAAGGAAGCCACCACGCCAACGTCGTATTCTCCGGATCCCACATCAGGCCACTCGTACACTGGGAGCCGGGACTGGATAGCATACTGCTTCACAGGGAGTCCTTTGGGGGATGGTGAAGGCACTGTGACAACCTCCAGGCTTTCAATTAACTTTTCCTCTTCATCATCTCTGAATCAGAAGATTAGAGACAAAAGAGACAGCATTGAGCAGCTCACAGCTAGACTCCATGCAGAACAAAGCTATTCTTGGAATTAAACTCACGACTCACTTATGGCTAAAATAATTAAAATTAGTACAAGCAACAAATAGGGTTTTTTATTTAATTTTTAAAAAAAATAAATTTTATGGGGTTGGAGGGACTGCTCTTCCAAAGGACCTGGGTTCAATTCCCAGCACCCACATGGCAGCTCACAACTGACTGTAACTTTAGCTCCAGGGGACCCAACACCCTTGACAAAACACCAATGTACATAAAATAAAAATAATTAAAAATAAACTATTATTTTTATGGGGTACGTGTCATATATGTGTGTAAGTACGGGCATGTGCTACAGCATGTGTTTGGCAGTAAGAGGCTAACTGGCAGGAGTCAGTTCTCGCCTTATAGCACCCAGGTGTGTAGTGACACAACTGTCTGTCACTCCAGTTCCAGGAAAATAGGTATTTGTAGGGCGGCAGAGACGGTGACAGAACCGGGGGAGGGGAGACGCCAGGAAACGGGGGAATAATAAATAACCAAATAACCTTAAGCTGGGGGGAAGTGGGGCGGTGGACATATCAGACTTTCAGGAAAAGCTGGATTACAAATAACGCTCTCCCCAGCAGACGCGGTTTGTCAAATCTCCTAACTACTACACGAATACGGAACCGTTCTAACTTAGAAATATATTTGTTTGAAAACGGTTCGTTCGGAAGCTGTTTGGCCCTAGAAAACACGGTGTGCAGAGGGGCAAGGAACTGGAGGCCACCGACTGGAGCGCAGCAAGCCCGGGAAGGGACGATCTTTGGAGTCACAGCCCATGTTGGCTAGGCAGGCCTTCTCACGGCCTTGGGCTCCGGCGGGGCCTCTCCGAGCCGGGGTTCCCTCGCGCAGGAGATGTAGGGCCAGCACCCGATGGCACGCCTTCCCGGGACCCCGCGACCCTCCCCGCCCTGGGGGTCGCCATCGCGGCTCAGCGCTGGGACCCCGGCCCGGTACCTGGCGGCGTGCAGAGCCCGCAGCGTCTCCCGGGCAAAGTGGTCGGTGCCAAGGAACAACACCCTCCAGGGCGGCTTCTTGCGGACTCGGGAGCCTCGGCTGTCTCCGCCGGAGGAGCCGCCGAGCCCGGCCTGTGTCTGACACGAGCAGCGAGGCCTCCCTACCGCCAGCCGCCGACCCCAGCAGCGCCGAACCAAGAGCATCACCTCAGTCCAGCGGCCCACCACGCGCATGCGTACCCAGGGGGCGGGGCATATGGCCGAAGGCCCAGGCACACGCAGAGGACGGGGCGGGGCCTGTCGCGTGGGAGACTAGACCCGATTGAGTTAACGCTGAGGAAGAAATTTGATGGTATTATTTAGCCAAGTCTCTTAAAAACACTGCACACGGGACTGGAGAGATGGCTCAGCGGTTAAGGGTATTGCTTGCTCTTCCAAAGGTCCTGAGTTCAATTCCCAGCACCCACATGGCAGCTCAAAACTGTCTGAAGATCCAGTTGCAGGGCATCTGACACCTTCACACCAATGCATATAAAATAAAGTTAAATAGACCATAAAAAATATTAAAAAAAAACACTGCACACACACACACACAAACAAGATACTCATACACATAAAATAAACCTTTAAAAGAAACTTAAATCTTTTAAAAACTTTACAACTTCATTTTTAATTCTGTGCATGCGTGTATCTGTCTGTCGCATGGGGGTACTGGAAATTGAATTCTGTGTGTGTGTCCCGTGTGCATTCTGGGAACTAAACTTTTGTAAGAGCAGCAAGTGCATGTGAATGTTCTGCCTGCCTGCATGTATGTATGCACACAACACATGTGCTTGTTGGAACAGGTGGTTTTGAGCCACCATGTGGGATCTGGGACTCGAATCCAGGTCCAGTTAGGAACAAGTGCTCTTAATCATGGAGCCATCTCTTCAGTCCCCTACCCTTCCCCTCCCCACCACCACCACCACCACCACCTCTACCTCCTCCACCACTACCTCCACCACCTCCTCTACCACCACCTCTACCACACCACCACCACCACCACCACCACCACCACCACCACCACCTCCACCTGTTGTGATAGGAGCGGCGGGGCTGTATCCCCGGCATCCGGCTGCCCGCATGGTTAGCTTATGCCCCGAAATAATTACACAGAAACTGTATTTTTTAAACATTGTCTGGCCCATTAGTTTTAGCCTCTTATTGGCTAGCTCTTACATATTGATCTAACCCATTTTTAATAATCTGTGTAGCCCATGAGCTGGCTTACCAGGGAAGATCTTAACCTGCGTCTGTCTGGAGTGGGAGAATCATGGCGACTGCCTGATTTAGCTTTTTTTTTTTTTTTTTTTTTTTTTTTTTTTAGCATTTTGTTTCATCTATTTTGCCTACCTAATTTTTTGTCCTATTAGGGCCAAGGCAGTTTTTTTTATTTAACCAATGAAATTAACATAAAACAGAAGACTCTCCCCCATCATTTTTTCTTTTTCTGTTTAAACAAAAAAGAAAGGCTTTCATTTTAACATAGTAAGAGTACATATAACAAAACAGTTATCAAGTAAGAATTATAGTTACAATATTTATATTTATTTTATCTTTTATCATAACAATGGAAAACTATAACTAACCATTCTTTAATTCCATCAAAGACTCCAGAAGGATATAATATTACCTAAGTAAACAAGAAATCCAAAACTCTAGAAATGACAGAGACATCTCGCTGCCTGGACAGTCACCCAAAGTTTCTCTGTACCGTTGGGGCATCCATCTTTGAACTACAGGCCCATAGTATCCAGCAGACATTTTCATGAAGCAGGAAAATTTAAAGACAGTTTAGTCATTTTCTGCTGTGTCCTGCAGAATATTTCGCAGACTCTTTTATGAGTTAGGAACCCCGAAAGACCATCTCACCTTTAGGCAAGTTTAGCAGTCCTCTCTCTGAGGGTTTTCTGTGTCCAGTTCATGCAACAGTCCAGGCAAGAACAGTTTCTTGCCCAAATGGCTATCAAACTCCATAAGGAGACTCTTTGATGCCCATCTTTTTCTTGAGTAGCTTGTTGTTGTCAGGAGCAGACGTGTCTCATTGTCCTGAAAAGCCCTAAGTTATTAAAACATTTAAATGCCATATTTTGTAGTCTTTGAAAGATATGAAGAATGCCTATCTAACTGAAATATATCTCTATATATCTAGAAAATCTAACATGACTACAAGCCTAACTATTATCGATGATTATCCATTAACAACCTATTTTTTCTAATTATACATTACATTTTTAAATGAACTACACAATCACAATACCTTAATCAAGAACAGAAATACATATACATATAACAAAATTGACCTTAAAATTCATACCAATGCAAATTATTTATATCTATATCATCCACCAGCACCACCACCACCACCAAGCACTCATCTGAGAACAAATCACTCGTGTTGTTAGACAATGAATAACACACCATCATCTCAGCCACCATAACTAATAGTTATGATGGTCTACTTTACATATTTAAATCCATTATTTCAGCTAATCCTGACATGAACCATCCAAGGGAGCTATTATTTTGCTCTTGTACCTGAAGAGCCTCTGACACCTGGTGAAGTTAAGGGCTTGCCTGTAAGGTCCACAGAGCTGGAAGATGGCAGAGTTGGAGTGGGGTAGGGGTCTTGTCCCTATAGCTCCAAAGCCAAGATCCTAATCATTTGACCTGAACAAAATCTTATGTATTAAACAACCCAGGACTCTCACTTACACCCAAGGGAACCGAGGCTTAGCTGCTTGTCCAAAGTCACTCCAAGAATCTAAGGCTCCTTAGAGAGTCATATGCCTTGCACCTGGGTACCCTCATTACAGTGGGATCCTGCAAGGCAGATTCGAGGGAAAATGAGCAGTGGACCTTGTCCACAGACCTCTGAAGACTATTAGTGCTTAGATAACAGTGAGCTCCTTAGCATGGGGCACCACACCTTGGAACCGGCTCTGATGACAGGGTGGCACCACCAGGCTTTGCCTCATCTTGTTCCCATCACACAGCCTGGAGGCCTGTGACCATTTCTTTGAACAACCCTGCTTCTGTGCCTTGGAACAAGCCACCCGTCTTACATCACCCTCTTACGTCTCTTTCTCTCTTAATGGTGTCCATTTTCTCAGAGCCAAGCTGAGACTTTCCTTGAGATTTCAAAATCTCATAGATTCAATGTATTTCTCCATACGCCCCTCAAAACTGTGAGGGACTTCATTCGGCAACAAGGAAAGTTGTCTAATGTGTGCCCCAAGAGTAGAAAATTCACCTTGGGCTAACCAGAAAAGACAGGCAAAGATTATGATCTGCTAGCCTGCTTGTCTGATCCTACGAGAAAAATAAGATGAGTTCCCAAGCCCAATATTCCCCTAACCAAGTCAGTTTCAGAATCCTAACTTAGGGGACGTGGGGTAGATTTTAACACTCTAGGTACTGCCTTCTGAATATTAACTAAAGTGTGACCTGCTGAGACAGGAGAGATGGATGGCTCAGTGGTTAAGACGCTCGCAACTCTTGCTAGAGGACCTGAGTTTCTTTCCCTGCAAGCTTATCTCTCGCTCTAGGAGATCAACTGCCCTCTTCTGGCCTCTTCAGGCACTGCATTTACATGCACACACACACACACCACTAAAAAATAAATCCTTCAAGTGCGGGACTAGAGAGCTGGGTCAGCAGTTAAGAGCACTGGGTGATCTTACAAAAGACTCATGTGCAAATCTTCTCACCCACATGGCAAATCACAGTCGCCTGTAACTCCAGTCCCAGGACATCCTCTTCTGGCCTCAGGGGCATTGAAAGTACAAGGTACACAGAGATAGGTGCAAGCCTGACTTTTGGGACATTTAATTTTCAGCAGCTCAAGTTTTCCCATGAGTCTGTGCCCCTAACGCTGTCCCTAGTCACTCAGTACCCTCTGCCCATCACACCCTAGCTGTTCGGCGCACAGGCTAGCACGAATCTTTCCTTCGTAGCCTCCTGCTAGCGGCATCTTTCTATCTTTGCTCACTTGTTTGAGGCTATGTCTTCCATGATGGCCAGCCAAGACCTTGGGATCCTTCCGTAGTAAACATCTTTTAAGAATAAAAAAGCATGATATGAGTGTAAAGACTGGAAGTTTTTCCCGAAAACAAAAATAAAATTTTGTTTTGTTTTGGGGTTTTTATTGGGGGCATGGGTAGACAGGGTTTCTCTGAGTAACCCTGGCTGTCCCGAACTCACTCTGTAGAGCAGGTTGTCTTTGAATCAGAGACCAGCCTGCCTCTGCCTCCCAGGTGCTGGGATGAAAGGTGTGTGCCACCCCTGCCACCTTCAAAAATGAAAATTTTAATGAGATTCTTCATGGTGAGTTAGAAGCATAGCGGCTTGGCCCTTCCATGTGCAGATTAAACCCTCCACTGAATTTACCTGAAGTGCAGATACGAGGTCTCTAGCGGTGAAGGGCAGGGAGGTGTGTATAATAAATCGTGCATATGTGTCCTCTGGGTATTGCTGACTGAGATCAGAGCAGCTCTGATTGCCCACTGGAGACCTTCATCCAAAACATTCCCTGTGGAACCAGGGGGACCCCCATCCCATCCGAGGATACGAAGTGGTGGCCAACAGTGGCTGTTGAGGGACTCTTCCTCATGGTATAACGGCCCATAAATTCTCCACGCTCCTGTAAGTCACCTAAGTAAAGTCACCGGTCCGCCGTGCTGGACTGGGATGGAGTGATTTCTTTGGTCTGTGGTTGGTGCCCTATCTGAGAAAAATAGACATTTGTCTTCCCTGAAAAAAAAAATCACCCAGCATTAAGATACCCATAAAGTATAACTGGAAGCTAGACCGTGGGCTTCCGGTCAATGCTCTAGTTTTCAGAAGTTTTTTTCTGGAAACTTCTTTGGTGCCTGTGTCAGGCTGAATCCGTGAGCTATTCCGGATCTCTCTGGATGACAAACGCCAGCAGTGCCTCTGACACAGACGTAACTGGCCTCTTGTAAGCTCAGGGTAGAGAACCGGAATGTGGAAGAGGCTCAGCCTCTCTCTAAAGCATCTTTCCCTGTTCCCACCATCTTACCATGCTGTTGTGTCCGATTTCTGTGGGACAAGGAGACCTGCCATAGGATAAATGTGTACACTCGTGCTTGCACACAATACATATAATCAACTAATGGGACAGGAAGCAGGAACAAGATCTTTTGCCTTCATCAGGGGAAGCAATGC